CCAAGTAAAGTGGAGGCTATTCTGAAATGGAAATAACCCAAGAACGTCTCAGAGATCCGTAGTTTCTTAGGCTTAGCTGAGTACTATCATCGATTCGTTAAGGGGTTCTCCATTACTGCAGCTCCTCTAACGAAACTATTGAGGAAATATGTTCCATTTGTCTAGTCTGAGAACAAACAAGCTAGCTTTAAGAAATTAAAGATTGTTCTGACTTAACCCCCAGTGTTGATTCAGCCTGAGTCTGGGAAATATTTTTTCTGTTTATAGTGATGCTTCTCACTCTTGATTAGGATGTGTTTTGAAGCAAGATAGGAAGATTGTCACTTGTACATCACGTCAGTTAAAGCCGCATGAACACAATTATCCCACTCACGATCTAGAGTTAGAAGCAGTAGTTTTTGCTTTGAAGATCTGGAGACACTATCTCTACGGAGAAAAGTGTTATATCTATACTGATCATAAGAGTTTGAAGTATTTGCTTACTCGGAAAGAGTTTAATTTAAGATAATTTCATTGGTTGGAACTTTTAAAGAACTATGATTGTGAGATAGAGTATCATCTAAGGAAGGTTAATGTGGTGGCCGACGCCTTGAGACATAAGGCGATATCTGATTTGAGAGCCTTGTTTGCCATCTTGAGTTTATTTGATGACGACAGTCTGTTAGCAGAGTTGCAAGTTAAACCCACTTTGGCTGAAGAAATTAAGGCCAAACAACTCCTTGATAGCTCATTGATTCCCATTATTGAACAAGTTGACCAGAGATAGAGTTCAGAGTATACTTTGGATTATGATGGTATTTTGTGCTTTCACAGTCGTTATTGCGTCCCTAAAGATGATGAGTTGAGATGAGATATTCTTCAAGAGGCTCATAGTAGTCCTTATGCTATTCATTCTGGCAGGGACAAAATGTACAAGAATCTCAATGAGCGTTATTTTTGGATTGGTATGAAGAAGAATATTTCAGATTTTGTGGTGAGGTGTCTGACTTGTCAGTAGGTTAAGGCAGAGCACCATCATCTGTCTGGATTGTTACAGTCAATTAAGATTCCTCTGACTCCTTCCAAAAATGATTTTGTTTGGGTGATTGTTGATTGACTCACCAAGTCAACTCACTTTATCCCTATTCAAGTTAATTATTCTTTAGACAAGCTGGCTAGATTGTATATTTCTGAGATCGTTAGACTTCATGGTGTTCTGTTGTCTATCATATCTTACCAAGATATGAGGTTCACTTCTAGGTTCTTTAAGGCTTTGTACGAGGCTCTGGGTAGTTGTTTGAATTTTAGTACAACTTTTCACCCACAGACTGATTGTTAGCCTGAGCAAGTGACCCAGGTGCTGGAAGATATGTTACGGGGTTGTCTGATTGACTTCCATAGTAGTTGGGAAGATTTTTTGTCCTTAGACGAGTTTACTGAAAATAAAAATAGCCATGCAAGTATTCACATGGCGCGCACGAGGCTCTGTATGGACGTAAATGTTGTACTCATATTTGTTGGACTAAGTTGTATGATAAGAAGACATTGGGTCCAGAGCTAGTTCGAGAGACTGAAGATACTGTCTGATTGATCCGTGATCACCTGAGAGAGGCATTTGGTAGGCAGAAGTCATATGCATATCAACGACGGAAGGATATCGAGTTTGAGTTTGAAGTCATATGCAGATCACCTGAGCTAGTTCAAGTGTTTAGAATTGGACGTAAGGGTAAATTGAACCCGATATTTATTGGGTTGTATCATATTATGAAGAAAGTCAGACCTGTTGCTTATCAGCTTGAGTTACCTCCCTAGCTCAGTCGCATTCATGATGTTTTTCATGTATCCATGTTGAGGCGATATCGTCCAGATCCAGGTCACATCATTCATGTTAAGGAAGTAAAGTTGAGACCTGATTTGTCCTATGAGGAGAAGCCCGTACATATTTTAGATCAGGACGAGAGAATTCTTCAAAATAGGCATATTCCAATGGTCAAATTTTAATAGAGTAACTGTGGCCCCTCAGAAGCTATTTGGGAGACAATGGAGTCAATGGTGACTCAATTTCCACATTTGTTTACATCAGGTAAATTTCGAGGAAAAAATTTCTTTTGAGTGAGGGAGAGTTGTCACACCACAAAATAAGGCCTAAAATTCTCTTAAAAAAATTTCAAGGACTAAATTGAATTTTGATTTAATTGAGTAACCAAAGTGAAAAAATGATTAAATTCATATCCAAATTCAGAAAGCAACTAAAGATGGAGGACCTATGTCATGATTTTGCCATTTTTAGGGTTTATATAACCTAAAATCAGGGGAAATTAATTTATTTTTTTCTCTCTCTCCAAAATTTTTCTCTTTTAGAAAGAAATCTTTTATCGTCGTTTCATCACCGAGAGTTGCTCCATTTTCAACACCTCCTACACCATCGTGTTCCTTGCATCGTTCCGAGTTTACTAGTGTCATTTTTATCTCCGTTGTCGCCGATGTGTGAGGGGGTGAGGAATATCAAGTTTTCGATGTTTCGAAATCGATCTCTCCACTGTTCACAGTTGTGAACCGAGCTTGGTAAGTGTCTCAAAACCCCTTAAAACGCAATTAGAAATTTTTTTAAGAATTTTTCCGACCCCTTTCAGTCCCGCACGCGTTGTCTCTACGCGTGGGAAAAGTCCACCGCCTGGTGGACTGCTTGGAAATGGGCCAATCCGACCCGATCCATGTTTGACCCGACTCAACCCGCTAACCTGACCCATTAATCCAACCCGTCTTCCCGATCCAATTTGACTGTTAACTGACCGTTGACCGTTGGCTTTGACCAAAAAGTCAAATTTTTTGAAAAGTCATATTTTATGTTTTTTGACGTCCTAAGACTAATTTCGAAGTTCGTTTTTCCAAATTCTAACCCGAAAGTGCCGAAACGAGCACGTTAACCCACAAATGCTTAGTATTTTTAGCATTTTTGCTTATTTATTTGAGATTTGGTTATGAAATTGATCCAAGAATATATTTTTATGAAGGTACTCATGTTTCACCTGACCAAATGTCAGTTAGGTCCGGTGTTTTCTGTCCTTCAGACTCGCTCGATCCGTGTTCTACGAGAGTTACCCGTAGGTTTTCGTAAATTACTTAAATAAAGGTTAATATTGTTCATATTAAGATTCCAATATGGATTTTTTGATTAAACTACCATTTTCTTTTGACTACATACATGTTATTTTTTCATTGGGGGTTTTATTGAAGGAAGTATCTCAGGCCTAGTTTATGACTTGTAAGACCTTACTATTTACCATAGGCTCCTCGACTTTGTGCTCAGTGTAAATCCTTACTGCAGGTTCCTCGGCTTTGTGCATAGAATAAGACCTTATTGCAGACTCTTCTACTTTGTGCACAGGGTAAACCCTTACTGGTGTATGGTTCTGGGGAACCTACACATTTTGTTGATCGGACAGGGCAGTGTTCATGTTTTTAAAACATACTTGATAAATCGATTTTACTGAAATATTTTATCTGTATGATTTTATACACCGTAAGGAGCACACTGAACTTTTTAGCTCATTTTGTAAATTTTAACATTTTCAGATAATAGCAGACTTGGCATCAGGAGGATCAACTTCTCCTAATTTTGTACCACTGTATATTTCTATATATCTTTCTGTTATATTTTGGTAACATGTGTTTTGCTACCGTCTTGATATATATGTATTACTGATATTACTGTTATATACGGTTTTCTGATATATGTACATATATATGTTTATCACATGAATCCTTATTATGGATAAATTTCATATTATACTGTTACATGGATTTTAACGTTGTTTTAAATATGAAAAGAGTCTCATAACGTCCAGGCCGGATCTAGAGGGTTACATATAGTCTCTTGTCTAATTTGATAATTAAACCTTTTGCATTTTGATTTTGTGTAAGGAGGTCCGAACTTATATAATTATATTAAAAATTTTAAGAATACGAAATTATATTATCAATAAAAAGTATTCAAAAAATACTGAAAACTGAACTCTCTTAGTTATCTTTAATTAAAGTTTAGTTTTCTTTTTCAACAACAATGCTATTTTTTTCATTCGTTTTGTCATTTTATATAAAATAAATTATCACGTCAACATATCAATATCAAATAGATATTTTACATTTAATATTATGATATTACTTAATTTACGAGATTCAACTTTTGAAACATGATCTTTTTTGCTTTCAAGCACTCTAACCATTTGACTTGACTTGCAAAATTTACATAAAAGTCGTCGAATTGAGTTAGTAACTCTAGAAGTTATCCATGGGTGACAATTTTTTCCCCCGAATAAATAGACTTATGAAATTTAATTAATTTTTTACTTGTTTTCATTTTGAAATATATGAACAAAACTTGAATTTTAATATTTTAAATATTTAATATTTATAACTTTACACCATAAAGAACTAATTTACAATATTTTTTTATTTATTTACCATATTCAAGTTTGAGGCCAATCTTTATATTTTATTTAAAATGGTTTGATCTATTAATTTTCATAATTTCATTAATTAATGTTATAAATGATACAATATACTCACAAGTACCTAGACACATATACAGGCATACAAGTACTAAATCATAAATAAAAATTTATATTGTATCTCTTAATTTTAGTTTTTCACGAATTATTAAGATGAAATCAAACAAACTTTAGATTATGATTTCTAACAATTAACCCAAGTAGTTGATGATATTAATTGTTTCAAGTAGAATGTGGACATGATATTTTTTTTAATAAAAACCTTTCCGACATATAATAGTATACATAAGCAGGATGAATAATAGAATGTCTTTAAGAAGAAAAAACTCTCAACATTTTAACTGAGATAATTAACTGTATTAAATATTTGAATGGCATGACATTGTAAAAATATAATATTAGATTATATTAAATTTAAGCATAATAGAGACACCAAAACCAAAATTTAACCGAAAGAGTTTTTTCCCCCTTAAATATCGAAGAAACAACGGTTATACGCGAGATTTGAAAGATCCGTAAATATCGGCAATTTTCCCCGGAAAAAATGTCAAGAGGAGGAGGGATAACGAATGCCGTAAACGTAGGGATTGCAGTCCAGGCCGATTGGGAGAATCGCGAATTCATCTCTCACATTTCCCTCAATATTCGTCGCCTCTTCGAATTTCTCCTTCAATTCGGTATATTTTTTCAAAGATTATTTTACCCTCTTTTTTAAACAAAATTATTTCTTATTTGTTTGTTCGGTTTCAGAGTCTACGACGAAGAGCAAATTAGCATCATTGAACGAGAAGCTCGACACTTTAGAACGTCGTTTGGAGCTTCTTGAAGTTCAAGTCGGAACTGCTTCTTCAAACCTTTCTCTTTTCAGTACGTGATTCCAGTTTCGAATTGTATTTGTTTTCATGTCTTTGTCCTGATTCTGTTCTGATTACAGTTTTTTTTTTCTCGTTCGGTAGACCTTGTAGAAAAGTTTTGCTTCTTCTTTTTTTGGCTATGTGGTAAACTTGTTGATTAGTGAATTTTGCTTTTGTATCTTCTGAATGTGTTGCATTTTATATGGCACCATCACCTTCTGTTTAGAAATTCAATGATTTATCTTTGCCTTTGGCCTTGCTTACTCGTCTTTATTGCAATTTCTTTCGATAGATTTCTTTGGGCCGATTTATGGTTCAAATGCTTTAGCTGATTTAGAAGATCACAAATTCCAATTCATTGTTTCCCAATTTCGACAATCTAAACACACACGGAAAGAAAAATCATTATCTTATATCTTTGAGGAAGATACTGAAGCGGGTGCTTGGAAGCTGAAGATTTTGTCTTCTACCTTCATAGGCAATGGAAAAGTAATTTTAATGATGATGAATGTTATCTTCTTAACTAGAAGAAAACCTAAAATTTTGGGTTCAAGTGGAACCTAGATTCGAATCCTATCTAGGGCAAAATAACTTCTATCTTCCTTTTATGTTATGTTTTAGAACTAGAATTTGAAGATCTGGATATGAATTTCATTTGCTATATAAATTGTGAAAAATGCATACATTACGTATAAATCAGTTGAGAATCATGATTATATATTTGAAAGGCGTAAGAAGGTTATCAAAATCACAAATATCTATAGGCATTTTAAATTTTCTACTAAATATACATTCAATAAAACCATGGATTTGAGAATATAATCATGAAATTTCATATTTATGTGTTTTATCACACAGCTTAATCTATTTCTGAAATCCAAATTCTCTATCCCTACCTCATGGAAAACATCAAATAGCTCCATTGTTGTTTTAAAGCAGTCTTGGTCACATAAAATAAGACCTATTTCACTTCCATGCCTCTTTTTGCTTGTATTTGTTAGTCTGCTCAAGTTCAAGGATATTGAATAGTTAACTAAGCTGGTTTTAGTTCAACATCAGTGCATACATCTTTTTAATGGTTATCCAAAATTTCTTGTATGAACATTTAGATGTTGAAGAAATCTTTTCTATGTTAAATAATGACAGTTTAAATATTTTAAGTGGTATTGCTTTTTTATTGTATGTGATTGAGTTGTCAGTCTGGTTAATAATGTAGGATGTCTATTCTTAAGAACAGTGAGTCATCAGTTGCTTGAAAGTTTTGAGGTTGAACTTGGTTTGTACTGTAAGTTTATAAATTCATTACATTAAATTGATGAAGATATTTGACTTAAATCATCTAAAATGTCTAGATTAAGCTAACGTAGTGGGAGAGGTTGGTAGATTCAACATAACTGGAAAAGCAGGGGAGGAAGGAAGCATGGAATGTGTATTAACAGTTAGCACCACAGTAAGGTATGCTGCAATGGTAGAAATTTAAACTTCAAAATAAATGGAGTAGAATAGATTAAGATGTGCAGTCATTTATTGAAAAATCATGGAATAATTCTTTTATTAACTTATTGTCATTTGTAAAAGTGATAAACATCTCATCCACCCATCTACTATCTTGTCTCTAGAAGAGCCAATGCTTATGCGTTTTTCAATAGGTGAGGGTTCTGATGCAGTTGGGGCAGGTGCTAGAATCATCTTTAATTTTCTTTTCTTTTTTTCCCCTTTTGTTCCTGTAACTGTTGAGAATCGATTGGACCCTCCAAGGTATATCTGATTTTCATGGACTTCATGCATTATGATGCATTGTTCTGTATAGTCTAAGCATCTTACAGCATTATGATGCATTATGATTTTCATGGACTTCATGCATTATAATGCCACTTCTACTATTCTTGTTTTTGCCACTTCTTTTTACGTGGACTGGATTTGGAGGCAAACCGGGTTTTTTGTGTTTTTGCAAGATGAATATAAGTTAAGGTGTCTAAGCTTGTGCTTTGGGATTCTCTTGGATGCTTAATTCAATCAAGGATTCATGGTTATGGACTTGGGGGGAAATATTAGCCCGGTAAATAAGAAAAAGGTGGAGGCTAGGGTATGAAAAATACTGTCATTTATGTTTGGTCCTAGGCTTGGGTATTACTTATTATTTCATGGCTGGTCCAAACATTAGTCCCCCTTCAGGTCTGAAGCTGGTTTTAAAGGGACCAGGTGAAAACCTACACAAGTAAAAAATATCACCAAATAAGCACATTGATGAAGTGGAGGGTGTCAAAGGTTTAGTGCCATCCCCAGAAGAATTTTGTATCCCCTGAGGGATTTTTTAGTGGCTTTTTCTGGAACTTATATATGTACTTACAACCTAAGGTTTTAAGATGATTTTTGGATTTGAAAATGAATTTGAGGGTCTAAAGATGATTTGAGCATTTGGAAACGAATTTGAGGATCCAAAGATGACCTGAGGATTTGATGATAACATTGAGGGCCTGAAGGTGACCTAAGGAAACTTGTGCAGTAGTAGAACGTCTATAATACTTTTTCCAGCTTTTGTGAGTATGCCTGATAATACTCAAGTGAAGATATATTTATAGAAGTCTTGTAAGCCATATGCATTTTGTAATTTTTTTTAGAAGGAAGTTTTGTAATTTTCCCCATTAAGAAAATTTTCTATTTGGTATACCTTTTATATAGCCATGTCTTTAGCCTTATATTCAAGAATTGCAATTGCTTAAGGTCAGACTTCAGCCTTTTTGTATGTTTTTTTTATAACAATTAGGGCTCAGCTTTAATCCTGAAGTCTTGCTACTCTTGTATAGTTTTTATACCATGATTCAAGTATCTTGCAAGTATTTTAAAGAGTAAATTGTCTATGGAAAACCATTTTTTGTTTTTTGTTTAGATGACCATATATTATGCACTCGACTTGCCGCTTTAGAAGTGGTTTAGCTATAGGTATATTGAAAATAGGTAACAATTTGCATATATTTTTACATGTACTAAGGGCTGAAGCCATAGGTAGACTACAAATTGATCTTATGGACCGTTCTCAAATTGTTAATACTTTGCTTATATATATATATATATATATTTATATATGATGGGAGTTAATTGGTATTTTTTGTGTATTCAAAGGAGTTAATTGCTATGTTAGAGGATTTATTTATTTATTTGTTCACACTTTTCTAGTTTTATGGTGTTGGGCTTTAATGGAGTTTGTAACACTTAAGTTCCTCTGTAACAATCCATTATATAACGACTATTTCACAATTTGTAAAAGCATAGAAGGAATCAAAGGCCAATTTGGATATGTATGTTTTCACTTTCAAATATTGTAAGAAATGTTAAATTCTTTTGAATAAATGAGGTAAAGTAACTTCCTAATATCAGCATAAGAAAAGAGGAGATGTAGTGCCACTACTAGTGATTCGTGTTGCAATTTGGCCATACTGGGTGTCATGTTTGTTTTTATATATTATATATTTAGAAATGGAGCTTGTAATAATGGGCGAAATGTTACTATTTTATCCTTTTTCAAAAGGTTAAAAAAGAATTTGCATTTGCATAGGTGATTGAGCCTAGTACTATTGTACTGCAGCTCTCACTTTGATGTACAACTAACAGAATTCCTTGTTTTCGTACACGCGACAAACCCAAACACCGTCATCCATCCACCAACACGCAGTTGCTCTCACGTTGCTTTCAGTTCATTTTTTAATTTTCTCTCAACAAATTTAATAAAATATATCCATAAATATTTAATTAGAGGTCAGTATCCTATTGAGTCGTGTTAAAAAATTATGAATTAGTCGAATTGAAGAATCTTATTTTATAATTCAAATTTTATTTAATTTTTTCGATTCGAGTCGAATTGAGTTATTTGAGTTTCTATTTAAATTTAATTATAAATATTTATAATATTATAATATTATGATGTACATAAACATTGTCATATTTTTTTCATGTGTAATATATATATATATATATATCATTAATAGTTGAAGTACTCAAATTTGAAAATCAATTTATTATTTATTAAAAATTTTGTTATTCTAGTTTTATTTTATCACTTGACTCGAATTTAAGATTTTTTTATAGTTAAGTTAAGTTTATGAAATTGAGAGTCAGATCAAATCTTTTTAGTGTTAATTAAATAAAAATAATTATAGTTAAGTTAAGTTTATGAAATTGAGAGTCAGATCAAATCTTTTTAGTGTTGATTAAATAAAAATAATCAAATTGAGTTTTATTCAGCCTATATTCAAGCAATCAAATTATATTAACAATTATATTAGATCTATCTAATCCCTCAGTTCCTAATTTCATATTACAAAAGCAAAGGCCTCGAAATTGTATTTTTTTTTCTTTAGTACGACATGTTTTATTAGCATTTTAATATGGCTTATCGAAGTCTCTAATTTACTTTTAGTTACGATTATATTTTATAGATATTTTCAAACTTGAATCACCTAAAAAAACATGTTCTATTTACTACTAGATTTTCTCTTGAAATTCAGTATAAGATGTTTCCGAATGTATTTTTTTAGATTGTATATCGGATTGGATTTATATGTTTATAATTTTTTATATATAAATAATTTTTTAAAATTTAAAAAAAATTAATAATATTATTTTTTATTATTTGTAATTTTGGATATGTATAGAAAATACTGAACAAAGTCGTTGCTTATACTAATCAATGATTCTTGTAGTACAAGTTTGTACATAAACTCTTATTCTAGAGGCTGTTTTCAAAATGAATGTACTACTTTTATGAAATATATTAAATAAAATATGTAAGTAATCACTAAAAATTTCTGGAATAATTTATTTAGTTATTAATTTTTTATAAATTATAAAATGATCATTAAATTTATAAAATTATTATAAAATGATCATCTTATATTATAAAATGATCATCGTACATTATAAAATAGTGTAAAATTCAATAAGTTTACGAATCATTATATAGTAGTTTGATAAAGTTTAATGATCATTTTGTACTAATTTGATAAAGTATAATGATTATTTGTAACGAAATGATAAGTTTAATGACCATTTTATAACTTTTCAAATTTTAGTGGACAAAAAGATTATTTTAGTAACGTTTAGCTACCATTTGTATAGCTTATCCCTGATATTTTCGTGTATTTTCTTTCATATTATATTATTTTTAAAAGGATAATTTGGTCATTCCAATCCATTAGAGAAAAAACACAAATGACGAAACATGGAAAAAGACATTTTGGTCATTTTGTTAACTTGAGTCAGAGTTTCAGACAAAAGATTCCTATTTAACTCCGATTAAATATCACAACTGAGACTGAGAATGCAAGGAAGCGAACTGAAATACTTTTCTGGTAATCTTTTTCAACCTTTGTTCAGCAATTTGGAAAATCGATAATAACTATTGTTATTATGTTCATATTTTTACTTTTTATTGTTGGGGTTGTGTTTAGGCGAGAATAAAGAGATGGGATTGGAGAAAGAGCAAGAATTGGAATGGATTGAAGCTCAAAAGATAGAGATAAGTTTGGATATTGTGGCTGCCGCCAAGAAGCACCTTGAATTTCTTGCTGCTGTCGATAGGAATCGTTGGCTCTACGATGGTCCTACTCTCCAAAGAGCCATTTACAGGTGATCACTTTCACTGCTCAATTTATTGAGTTCTTCAACCTCTTTTTTATATTTTGGTTGCTAAAATCGTTGTTTTTTCCAGTTTTAAATTCTGAGTCTTTTTTGGGTTATGTAGTGTTGATATAGAATTTTGAATACTATGGTCACTACTCACTAGATCTTGATTAACTTTCATATAAATATTGAATCAGAGTTTGGCTGTTTGACTTTTTGAGATGTGTTAATTTAAGGTACAATGCTTACTGGCTTCCCTTGCTTGCCAAATGTTGCGATGAAATGATTTTGGAAGGGCCTCTGGTTGTTCCTCTCGATTGTGAATGGATTTGGCATTGCCATAGGCTAAATCCCGTACGTCTATAAGCTTAATATAAGAAATTTTGCTTCGTTTTTGCTTGTTTGTTTTGATATTTTAAGCTGGATTTCTTTCTCTTTTTAATCAGGTTCGTTACAAGTCTGACTGTGAGGAACTTTATGGAATGATCCTTGACAACTCTAGTGTTGTATCTTCTCTTCAAGGCACGTGTAAAAGGAAAACGGAAGTAATTTGGAACAGATTTTATCCGGATGAACCTTATGACTTCGATTTCACTAGAGCATCATCTGAAAATACCTCTGAAACGCTTTCTGGACTCGAAAAACACACCGAATATGATCTAATTTCTGCTGTAAAAAGGCAGAGTCCTTTCTTTTATCAGGTAATTCCGAGAATTATCATTTGAGCTTTTTGAATGTGTGATTTTTGTAGCATTCATCTCATACTTTTGAAGGAAGGAAATGTTAGATTAATTAGTCTGCTAATTGAGGACTGAAATGTCAAAAACTAGATTTATGCAATACATTTTACTCTCACCAAGTTGATTGTCAGGTTGAAAGCTTTATGCAATGCTAAGGCGACCTGGTTCCTTTGAGGATAATTATTGAATTAGGAAATTGCTTCACGTAATAAATCACAGTTTAGTCACTCAAATTTCTGATATAGATTTTCAAATTTGCTATCTTCCAATTTTTCTTGAATCTTCCTGGTCTCGTCTTCTACTCCAGGTATCCAGAGAGCATATGAATAATGATGTATTTATTCAAGAAGCTGTAGCTAGATATAAGGGTTTCCTTCATTTGATCAAGAGGAATCGAGAAAAGTCCATTAAACGCTTTTGCGTTCCAACTTATGACATCGACCTTATCTGGCACACCCACCAGTTGCATCCTGTCTTTTACTGCATAGATTTGAACAGAACACTTGGCAAGATATTGGAGCATGATGATACTGATTCGGATCGAACTAAAGGGAAGAAGCTTGATGTTGGGTTTTCAGGGACTACTAAACAGTGGGAGGATACATTTGGCACAAGATACTGGAAGGCAGGGGCCATGTATAGAGGGAATTCTCCATCTCCTATCACAACCATTCCTTGCGTGCCTGACATTTTACCTAAGGAAGTAGATGCTGCAAACGAGTTTCTGAAAATTATTAAGCTTCCTGAGATGAGGGTTGTAGAGGTAGTTTCTGGAAACTTTTTCCTCTAGCATTTCATTAAGTACAAGATCTTTTTCATTAGCTGGTTTTATTTTATTTCCTATCGTTGTCCTTTTGCTTGTAGATGCTTCTTATTTTCAACTTGTTTTGCCTTTATTTAGCCTGGACCAAGGTTACTGGTACTGCTTTCCTGTTTTAACGGGCTCTTCCTCATTATGTTTAATACTTTTTTTCAGGTCTTTTTGGAGATTGTTGAAGTTAAGAACTTAACGGATGAAAAGAAGGGAAACCTCTTTGTCCTGTTTAGTAAAACTCAACCAGATGTGTTCTGTAATAATAAGCAGAAACTGACTATCTTATCTGAGTCTGGGAAGAAACAGGTTGCTTCATTTCAGTGTGAACCTACTGGTGAACTGCTCTTTGAACTCGTATCACATTCAGTTTCCACCTTACCAGGAAAAAAGACATGCAAAACTCTAGGTACTGCTTCACTCTCCATACAAGAGTTTCTAGTTCCGGTTTCCAAACTTGCCATGGAGAAGTGTTTGGATTTGGTGCCTGCTTCTGGAAATGGTTCTTCAAAACCATTTGGCCTACGTGTTTCTGTTTCATTCACAGTTCCTACAGTAGCACCACATGTGCTTCACATGGTTCGCCCCCTTGCTTTTTCAAAAGGTTCTTGTTTTCAACTCCCTCTTGCTGAAACGGTCCCAGCTGATAAGAGCTACACCCGTGTCATTGATGAAACTCAAGCTGAGGTCATTAGGCTCCAAATGAGGTATACTTGCATTCACACCAGTTTATATGCTGGCAAGCAACTTTAAGTTTGCCTTCCATGTATTTTAGTCGATTGTTAAATATTTATATCCTGGCTGTGCATGCATGTGTTCGGCTCCTTCTATTTACATATTGGTGAAGCTTTAAGAGATGATGTCATATTTATGCTACTCTTTTCCCAAAAGAGCTCCAACTTTTCTTAGATTTGATGTCTGCCACTGATAACCTTTAATTTTCTCATCACACAAAGTACTGTTCGACTAGGAAAACTGTTTCTCATGATAAAATTCATGACACAAAAATAAATGTTTATGGTTACTATATGATATATTTCATTTGTTTAGGATATTAAATATCTGAATCCTGTTTGTTGACCTTTATGTCAGTATGATAATTCTTTGGAAAACCATTTTAGAGTGCCTATGCAGTTTTCTGTTTTCTCAGCACAGTTAGTTGCTAGTTATGTAAAGTTCAGCACTGAATTTGACCGTTTGGGAGCATGATTATAGGGAATCTGGAATGGCAAAGATGAAAGAGAGCAGCCTCTCAAGGAAGCAAGTAATTGGTATCTCAAAGCATGGAGAAACTCTTACTGTAGCTGAGTTTCTTGGGACTCATTGGTCCTTGATGAATTCTCAATGGGTTCTTCAGCATTCAGATGAAGCCGATGAAAATGGTCATCTCTTTGATCTCAAAGGCAATAGGATGGTATGCATCCATTTATTTTCTCATTTTATGTAAATCTCATATAATATTGCAAAATTTCTTATCCGACATCCATATACAGTGATGGAACCTAAGCATCATTTTTTGGCCTAATTGCAATTTAGTTCCCTATAAGTTTAAATATTAGACAGATTAAACCTTGCCCCACCCCCCAAAAAATTGAGTTTAAATACAATAGGCCCTCATATTTTTTAAGTTAGGTAATTTGGCCCCTCCCAATGTTTGATCTTGGTTCCATCCTTCTCCATATAGCCCAAAAACCATTATTTGACTCTAACAGCATTATCTCTCTGTTGTCAAGTCCTAGTAGGGCTTTCATTATTTCCCTATCTCAACTTCCATCTTGATCTCACATAGAAGCTCACTCATCACTCATGTAGAACATAGTCTGCATTTTAATTTTACTTTCTTTTGAATTTCACTGCCTAACTGTCTGCATGCTTTAGTTGTGCGTATACATAATGTGTTGTAACTAATTTTCCTGTTATTGCTGTATTCTTCTGACTACAATCCTTACAAGTTGTTTTGAAGTTAAACTTCCCATTCTTTTTATTATTTTACCAAACGACATCCCACTGAATTTATCTTTGAACAGGTAAAGGTTTTTCTTGGCAGAAAACTGGATTATGAACCCAAACACTGTGAGAAGAAAAAGAAGGAAGGTGACTTTATGACTGCAGTTGAATTTTCTGCTGAACATCCATATGGAAAAGCTGTTGCTTTGCTTAACTTGAAATCAAGATGTCTGAAGGTAGGTTAGCTATTTATTAAACATTAAAATGTACAATTGTAAGAGATTAATTTCACGAACTGTTTCTTGTTTATAATCAAAATTGAATAGGCAAAGGAGGAATGGTTTGTTTTGCCTGGGTTGGTATCAGTGTTTATATTTCATCACATTTTAAAGAAGAAAGGACGCAAAGGCTTGACCATTGATGGCAAAAGTAAGAAAAAGATAGATGGTGCTATACCAAAGGTATATGTTGAGAATGAACAGCCTGCCAACTTTACAGCCTCCATAGAACCTGAAGTCCTTTCAGATGATGATATGACCTTAGAAAATGCAGTGATACCCCAAAAAGATGGTTCATGCAATGGGGACTATGGAGGCCAGAAAGGAAGCATTGTAAAAAGTGGTGGTTGTGGTGCCGGATGTGGAAACGTGATGAAGAGCAGCGGCTGTGGCGGTTGTGGTGGTGGCTGTGGTGGTTGTGGTGCCGGATGTGGAAACATGGTGAAGAGTAGCGGCAGTGGCGGTTGTGGTGGTGGCTGTGGTGGAGGTTGTGGAAGCATGGTGAATAGCGGCGGCTGTGGCGGTTGTGGTGGTGGCTGTGGTGGAGGTTGTGGAAGCATGGTGAATAGCAGCGGTTGTGGCGGTTGTGGTGGTGGCTGTGGTGGAGGTTGTGGAAGCATGGTGAATAGCGGCGGTTGTGGCGGTTGTGGTGGTGGCTGTGGTGGAGGTTGTGGAAGCATGGTGAATAGCAGCAGTTGTGGTGGTTGTGCTGGTGGCTGTGGTGGCTGTGGTGGAGGTTGTGGAAGCATGGTGAATAGCAGCGGCTGTGGTGCTGGCTATGGGCTAACTGTGGTGGGTGCAACGGAGGTTGTGAAAGCATAGCGAACGGCAGCAGCTGTGGAATATATCTGGTTCTGTTTCTTCAGGTTCTGGCTTGTGTGTATAGTTGTTTCCTTGGAAAATAAATGGAAAATGTATTACAACAGTAATACAAGTAACCAAAAGTACTTGTTAATGGTGAATGCAAGTGAATTATCCCATGCTAATTCTCTTGGTATTTACTGTCTTGTCATGATTTTATAAAGCTTCAGACATATTTTACATTAATGAAAAATGTAACCACTCCAATACACTTGAAAACTGTTCAATCGATTGATTACAATCTTAATGATGTTAGGTTTTATGTTCTTATTTGAGTGTCCTGATATGGGTTGTTTTATCAACTAGTAGTATATGCCACCCATAGTTGATCATTTTAATACAAAAACAAAGGCCTAAACATCGAGCCACTCAATCCAACCACCACCACCAACGGGCTGAGCTAATAATAAATTGGGAATATGAGAATCGGATACCCCCACAAAGAAGAAATTGTTCAGTTCAACGTGGCTTAAGCTTCAACACAAATATGCTTTGCATGCATGGCGATTGGCCAATATCAGACTTCCATGGGAGACCATATCACCTAACATTATGTAATTGAAAACCCAATTCTATTTACAAAAAAGACAATCCATTAATCAAGGTTTTATAATTGTCTGTGCTTAATTTGATTTTCTCTTTGCCAATCCCTCCTCTCTTCTAGAATTTGGTTCACACTACTAAAATCATTTACATTTCAAGTTTAAGTGATTTGATGAATCATTATTTTCATTTCGACTTTGTGTTCTTCATCTTGGGACCAAATAGTTGAGTGATTTGAATCGTTTGCAACTCGACAAGACTGAACCACCACTGTTATTTTCATTAACCACTTCTTTGATTGCTGAAAAATGGAACATTATTTGTTCTCTGCAGTCTGCACTGTGATTATTTGCAAAGGAAAATAATAATTACTGGAAGGTTAATCTCAATCATAAATTGGATTATTATTTTCTTCCTTGCTTAAGAGAATTAAATTACAAGGATGAAGATTCATCAAACCAACACAATCACTAGTTATAAATTACTGCTTATTAATATTACAGATACAGTGAAATTACAGAGATTCATTATCAGCTGATAAAGATGATGGAAGGATCACAGCAACACTCATCAATGAGACAGCAGCAACACAAAGCTGCAAGACTGCAAAAATAAACAATAATTTACACATTAAAAGGAAGAAAACTCTTTAAATTAATTGAAATATTCGCAGCATGGGATATAATATACCATCCCTCAAGGAAACCAGTCTGTCTCCTAGGTGGTGGAGCAGCATATTGTGGTGGTGCCATCACTGGGGGCCCTTGATAATAACCTAGCAACCAGAATTATGGCAGAAAATTAAAACAAAACCTACCCATAACTTCACTTTAATCCAAAGGGACAAAAAAAACTCTGAATAATTTTCCCTTTCTCTCTAGGAATAAAAAAAATAGTTCCAACATAGAATCCCATGCCTATGAACAATAACAGCAGAACATGCAAAACAGAAAAGGCCACAACTTCACTACTAAAAGCTTCAAAATCTGAAAGTTTTATAAAGGAACTGTGGCCATTAACGCAAAACCTGAGATATTAAACAAGTTGAATAGGGTAAAATCTAAGGGGAAATGAACATATAAGCAAAGCAAAAAAGGGTACCTTGAGCAGGGTAGGGATAAGCATACTTGGGGTCACTCATGCTTTTGAGAACTGCAAAACCTAAAGGAAATACAATGAAAACATAGTGGAGGATAAAGGGGTTATGGATTTATATGGGATTGTCTCAGGAAAGGTAGGTTAATATACGGTTAATATACGACGTTACCGGATATATTAAAATATATTTAATAAATTCGATTTAGCGCTACCAGAAATGTTGAGTAATAATAATGTAGTAGTTCTAAATCATGAAAAAATATTAAATTTTTTTGCAACCGACAAACTTAGCTTGTCGGTTTATGTCGATACTTTATAAAAATGTATTGATCCATATCAATATAACAGGTAAAAATATGACAAAACCGGCCTCGAAAAGACAAAACCGGTAAAACGCTATCGGATATATTGAAAGTGTCGATACTTTAATATAAGTATCGACACTTTGTGAATTTAAAAGAGAAACAGTTTTAGCGTCTATAAAGTGTCGATACTTTATAACAATGTATCGATCCACAATGATATAACAGGTAAAAATATGACAAAACCGGTCTCTAAAGGACAAAACCGGTATAGAGCGATCAGATATATTGAAAGTGCCGATACTTTAATATAAGTATCGGCACTTTGTGAATTTAAAAGAGAAGCAGTTTTAGCGCCTATAAAGTGTCAATACTTTATAACAATGTATCGATCCACAACAATATAACAGGTAAAAATATGATAAAATCGATCTCTAAAGGACAAAACCGGTATAGAGCGACCGGATATATTGAAAGTGTCAATACTTTAATATAAGTATCAACACTTTGTGAATTTAAAAGAGAAGCAGTTTTAGCGCCTATAAAATGTCGATACTTTATAAAAATGTATCGATCCATAACGATATAACAGGTAAAAATATGACAAAACCGGTCTCGAAATGACAAAACCGGTAAAGAGCTACTGGATATATTAAAAGTGTCGATACTTTAATAGGTACACGTAATAAATTATCGATACTTTCAAAGAAATAGGTAATTATACTATCGAAAGTATCGACACCTGACATAAAAGTATCGACACTTTGGTAGTTATATCGATTAAATATAAATAACATATCCGGTGAAAATATAACGGGCATAGTTAAATATCCTCTGAAAAATAGATAGAACAGACGAGTTTTTGAAATCGAAGCATAATTGTTGCTGCAATTCAGAATGCGTTTCTAAAGTGAAATTTGTTTGTTTGTTGCTGCAGTCGAATCGAAAAGTACGTTATCGAAACCCTAGTTTTTTATTATTATAATAATTGAAAATATGGTTTTTATGTATTGTTTGGGGTTTTGGAGTAAAGAAGCATTTGAGACCGATTATATGTAGAAAGTGATATTCTAGGTAAAATATAAATATCGATACTTTTATTAAATATTATAGGTAGAAAATGATATTATAGGTTGTATAAATGTGTCGATACTTGGAGTATTGAGTGTTCTCATTCGTTTGAAGAAAATAGGGATTATGGTTTTTGGGTTTGGTTTGGGGATTTCGAATCGAAGCCAAGAAGGATCTGGGACCGATTATATAATATTATAGGTAGAAAATAAATATGGATACATGTTTATAATATTATAGATAGAAAATGATATTTTAGGTTGTATATATGTGCCGACACTTGTTTTAGTGGCCATTCAAATTCTTTTGAAGTAAACAGTTTTACTGCAAGAGTAGTTATCGATATTTGTATATTGAATAAAGTGTATGTAACCAGTATTTGATTTGATTTGCGTAAACTGATATATGAAGGAAAAATGAAGTCAAAGGATCTTGGAATTGTTGGTGGTGAAGATGACGTTGAAATTGAGGTCGAGATTCGAAAGCAACCAAAGGGTGGGTATATGTACTTCTAGTAAGTATCAATGTCTTTTTGTTATTATAGTAAGTATCAATTTAAAGTATTTAAGAACTTTAAATTGATTACAAATTTTAAATGTTGACAGTATGACCGAATGCCAAAAGATGAAGGAAGGTGGCGAACATATCGGTACAATATGTAAATTGAAATTGACATTGAGTATTATTTAGTATTAATGTATTGATTAAGAAACGTTTATGCTTAATATTAGGCGATAAATGATGTGTTGGAGAAATGAAATTCGATGAGTGATGTTGAGAAGGAACCTTGTATCGCACAGTCAAAGATGGATAATGAAGAATACAAAGAATTGAGGAAAGCACATGAAAAGAAGGTATTCATTAAACTTGTAAATACGTTGATACAAAATATATAAGAACTATAACATTATATATTGTTAAAAAATGGTGCAGCATTAAAAGGGTGAATTCATTAATTAAACACCTTAAGGAGAAGGGTCAGTTAAATGTGCTGGGAGAAATGGGGTTTGGATTATTGGTAGGAGTAAGGGATCAACCTATTCGGAGGGAATTGTGTCGATCCTTGATGGACCAATTTGATGTTGAACAATGTATTGCTAAATATGGTGATTATTCATTTCCTCTGGGGATCCCATGTGCTGCAGTCGTCTTGGGGGTAGAAAATGTAGGCAAAAGTGTTGTAGAAGTCTCTGAGAGTAAGAACTAGAAAGCACTTGCCTCCAAATATGGTTTGAAGAAGAAGGTTACATATGCTGAACTTGAAGAGAAAATCAAAAGTGGATCTTACGAGGGGGATGAGCTGAAGGCCCAAGTTCTATTGTACCTTGTCGGGATTTTTCTTTGTCCAACGAGTGATACGTCAACGAACAAGGACTATATGAAGCTCATTTGCGATGAAGGCTTGAAGGGTGAATTCAATTGGGCTGAATATGTCCATTCGATATTGATTTAATCAATAATCACCTTTAAAAAGGGCAGCCAGAGATATTACAAAGGGTGCATAGCAATCTTAGAGGTAAATAAGTTGAAGAACATTTTTGTTTTTTTATATAAAATGATAGTATAGTTATTATATAAAATTATAAATTTTATTATAAATACAGGTTACACTGTTCGATTTTTGTTCGGGCTGTGAGGCAGTGCCGGCTTATGAAAGAACCGGAATGGCACACATCCGTGCATGGAGGAAGAAAGAGGTGGTTAGAGTGATGACGAAGTTGAAGTATATAGACCGAGGAAGCAAAAAAGGGTAATAAATGTAATTAAATAATATTAAGAATATAATCAATGTCTTAATATTGTAATTTAATTTTGAAGGTTATTGGCAAGGAGGTAGAGGAGGCAGTTGAGGTAGAGGAGGCAGAGGAGAAGGAAGAAGAGATGGTTGTATTGGGGGATGAGGGATGAGGGATAACGGTGAGGGAAAACAGAGTAAATTAGACATTTTGATGTATGAATTAGCTGATATCAAAAAATTCCAATTTGATATCATGCAAAGACAATCAAGAGTCGAAGAGAAACTTGAGAGAGTCGAAGAGAAACTTGAGAGAGTTGAAGAGACGCTTGAGAGGAATAAGGGGGAAGTTGAAGGAAAAATAGATTGAGTGATGAAAGAAGTTGAGGTGCTGAGGGGTGAAGTGGTGAAAGAAGTTGAAGTGTTGAGGGGTGAAGTGGTGAAAGAAATTGAGGTGTTGAGGGGTGAACTTAAGATGGTGACAGGTGAAAAAATTGATGAAGTAGTGAAGGAGATTGTGGAATTGAGGAGTAAACTTACGGGGGTAAAGGGGGTGGTTGATGAATACTTGGATGAAGGGAAAAATTGAAGGGTGAAATAAAAGAGATGAAGAGTTATGTAGAGAAAAAAATATGATGAACTAAAAAAATATAAAGAATAAAAGATAGAGGAAATGAGGAGGAAGGATGCCGATGTGATCTATACACCAGAGAGTGGTATAGATGCATATTTGGATTCGGAATGTCCTGCACCCCAGAAGAAGAAGCAGAAGGTAAGTTGAATAAAAGAAAACTTAATTTGATCTTTATCATGTTGTTGTGACAAATATTTGTATGCAAAATTGTAGGTTGAAAAAGCGTATATTCCAAGCGGAATTGATGACCTCGAAGCTGCAATTTATGATTATTTATGGAATAGTGGGTTAGAATCGGGGTAAGTGAAATATATTGCTTTGTGAGTGATATTTAAATATTTCATGACAAGATATTAATCCTAATGAATCATACAAATATTCTATAATCTCAATGGGAAATCAATTCGCTAATGTATCCGACGTTGCAACATTGAAGCCTACAGAATGGGTTGGCGGTGTGGTAAGTAGAAAGTACAAAATGTTAAAACCTATTGAATATGTTCTGATTGTGTAATTAATTTTGTTAGGTTATTGATTTTCTCACCTGGACAGTATGCTACGATTCGAAAAAGTCACTCCGGATGATTGGCTACCTTTCATACCACTTAGCTGTGAGTTAAATTAATAAATGTTGAAAAGTAGTGTTATAGACGGTAAATTAATAATGATTGTCACGTAATTGCAGCAACAGACGTTGGATGCCAACAACAAAGTAAGTGTTGAGGGTATTACTATCTTTTTGGGTCCCATATTGGGTAACTATGTGAAATTCACCGACTGTGAGAAGGTAAGACACCATACGAATTGCAAATGATGTTTTCGGATATAGAATGTTGAATTTTGTCAAATTGGGTGTGAAATTTGTTGCAGATCATGATCATAATAAACTACCATAATTCACATTGGTATCTATTGGTGTTGGATATGGTAGATCGTGTTGCAACAATATATGATAGTTTGTTTACATCTGAAGCAACTAAACAGAGAGTGAATGATGCTAAGAGATTGGTATGTATGAAAGGAAATTATGCAAATTATAATGCATAATTTGTTCGGATCATAAGTTCATATTTTTTAATGCAGATAAAAATATTATATAATTATAATAAGAAACTCAATTGGGTAAAAGCATGTGGATTTCTAGGAAAGTTCCCCTTGAAAAATTTTAAATTTGTGGAGCATAAGATGAATGAGCAAGTGAATGGGTATGAGATGTTATCATAAATAGAAAGCTTAATTTATGCAGGTTTCATAATTGACATGTGTGATATTCAAATTTTGTAACATATATGATTGCGGCATGTATGTGATGATGGGGATAGAATCGATCGGTTCTACAGGGGCAACTGGTGATTTTGTAAGTGTAATTAAAAATT